AAAGGGTTTAAAGTGGCCATCTCCTCAAATTCAAAGACTAACAAGGTGAGCCAAAAACAGAACACAAGGATCTAAAGGTTGAGATTCAGATGAAAAAGGTATTGAGAACTAGTTGCAGGAAGCCATTAAAATGGAAAACAATGGAGAAAAATGTGCTTTGGGGGCTGATTGAAAGTGAGTGCGGCAAAGTGAGAGAGAATGGGAAGTGAAGTCAGCTGATAACCTAATCTGGATAAAACCCTAGGGCGGATGGGGACTGTGTGGGGGATGGTGCATTGTATGTTACTATGGACCTGCAGTTAAAATTTGTACTGCACTTGCCACACGTGGGGCCCGGTGAGTATTTCTGGGCTGCTTGCATGTTTGGGCTTTGAAAAGCCCATTTTCCCAGCCGTACTCCGGATTGGGCTCCCAATCTGACACAATGGACTTCAACAATCTATGTAGCTTATCCACGTACTCAACGGATTAGTATTGGTATCATAATTACAGTATTAGTAACATAATTTTATAACGGATTTAAATTGGTGCCATAGTTATGAGTTTCTGCAACGGATTTTAATTTGGTTTTATTATGAAACCACATTTCCTTTATTTAACTAGCTAGGTTTAATTCAAATAAAAAATAATAATTAATTATTACAATTAAATGTACATAATAAGATTTTATTGAAATTCGAAATTCAACTAAAAGAAAAAATATGATAATTAATGTCAAAAATGATTGCCTTATATGCTACTTTTGAATAATAAAGGGACTGAATATTAGCCGTAGTGAATTGATCTTACATCGATTTGAAAATTAGCAATTTGAATTTTCAATTTAAGGTGTCCTCAATTTTCCTGGCTCGCCTTGGATACAAAAAAAAATTTTGTACTCGAAGCGGCTCAATCAGTTTTATCATATACCGTCTATCCGCACTCGAAATCACCAGTGAAATACAAAAAATACATAAAATCGACACCATGACGTAGTTCAATTTTTGGCTTATGCCAAATTAAATTTGATTATTAATGAGTAGGGGTGTGCATGCTTTAATTAAAATCGAAGGTTCAATTTTTATCCAAATCGGTCAAATTTCGATTTTCAACATATAATTTTTCGGTTATTTCAGTCGGTTTTTGTTTTCGGCATTCAAATGTCTGAATAACCGAACCGACCGAATTATATTTAATTATTTAATTATTTATATATATATATATTAATACTAATACATATTATTATATTATATATTATAACATAATATTTCAATAATCCTAATTCCTAAACATACCTAAACCTACGTACATATAAATATATATATATATATTATAAATTAAATTCTTAAACTTATATTATAACATAATATTTCAATAATCCTACTTCTTAAACTTACCTGCGTACATAAACAAGAACTTGAAATCGCCCGTCGACATCCATCTCCCTTCCCCAAATCATCCCATCGGTCTCCCTTCCCCAAATCCTTCGCCGTCCCCAATCTTCCGCCGTCGTTGATCCTCCGCCCTAAATTGCCCCAATATAAATCATCCCCCAAATCGTCCTCTCCGCAAAAAAAATCGCACTGTGACTCCTTGTCGCCGGTCGTTGAATCGTCTGTCGAGGAGCTGAGCTGGGAGGTTTTGGCCGGGCACACGATTGTTCACCGTCAAGGGAGAATTCGTCTCCCTCCCAAATTCTCAGCCATCATCTCAAAATATCAATTTGTGATCACTTTTATACGATATTATACAAGTAATAATTTTATGTTAAAATAAGTGTCTCCTATAAATAATGATCGTTATATGAAGGTGTTATATGAAGGTGGTAAAATTAAATAAGGTTTGTATGAATATAAACGTTTCATGAATTAATTCCGAGGAAAGCAGAACCTAGAATCTATCTTTTATATCTTGATTTAATTTTTATTGTTTTAGGTAAATTAGTTCTTAGTTTAATTTATAGTTTAAAATCATCATCTCATTCGTTAGTCTAAATAATATTTAATCGTCATTATTTTAGTACTTAATTAATTTAACTACAATCTCTGTGGAATACGACCTTGCTCGCCACTACCTATAGCTACGCCGTACACTTGCGGATAGCAAAAATAATTAGCGAACAAGTTTTTGGCGCCGTTGCCGGGGATTGTTTGTTGAATTAATTAATATTAGAAGAAAGCGAATAGATATTAGTTTAGACATTTTTATTTTTATTTTTTTTTCTTTTTCTCTTTTTCTAATATTTTTATTATTTTTTTTTTCTTTCTTTCTTGAGATTACAATGGCCGAGCAAATGGAACTTATAAGAC